TACTATTGTTACTACTAATATTATGTATAGAATTAATGGGATTTTATAAAATTCAGCTCAATATGTGTGAACCTAACAAATGTTTATAACATACAAATAAAGTCTCTATTTGTGAACAAATACTTGATTAATAAATAATATTATTTTTCATTAATATTTAAATTAATATTAAATTGGTAAATTGAAAAATATTTAGAAATCATTGTAAATAAGATTACAATTGTAAACGTTGGGCATAACTGGCATAATATAAAATATAAGAAGAATTTAGTTTACGCTAAAACGCTTTAACTATACATATTTTATGTTAGATTCTATTATTCTGTATATAAATCACAGAGCGATAAGATTTATAAGTATAAAGTAAGTGACCCCTAAATTTAGTTCTCAGTATTCCTAACCCTTATGTTATACACTATTCATAATATGTTAGTCACATATAGTGTACTCTAATATAAACATATAATTTAAAAGNCGATAAGATTTATAAGTATAAAGTAAGTGACCCCTAAATTTAGTTCTCAGTATTCCTAACCCTTATGTTATACACTATTCATAATATGTTAGTCACATATAGTGTACTCTAATATAAACATATAATTTAAAAGACACCTTGGTGATTTAATAACCACGCCATATTAAAAACATCCCCTATTTCAACCTGGACTTTTTTAGTATAAAGTATAAATGCAAATGTTGCTCATTATCTCCACTCTTTCGACGTGTTGCTGAATATTAGCATATTTTCAAATTGAAAATTTTAGTATGTTTTTAATGAAAATAATGAAAATAATGTCAAAAACGAGATGTTTAAGTGCTAGTCCAGTGGATTGAATTGATACAATATGATTACAATATACAATATACTTTCAATGCAATCATAAACAAGAAATGTTGTCATCATTAGATTAGTCTTATTTTTTAAGTGCAAAACATTACATTTTATATATTTTCTTTAATCACTTTAGAAAACAATCATGTTCTTAGTTTAAATAAATGACATTTTTATTATTCATTTTTTTTGTTTAGAAATTGACATTTTCGGTACGATATATGACTTAATACATGTATGTAATAATAGTGTTTTCGATAGTTTTTGTTAAAATATGCCACAATCGGGGAAATAAATCACATATTCTGAACAAAAGTACTTAAAATTTATTTTTTGGATTCTTAAACCTGTTGTATGGGAGGAAAGCACACATGTTATAACATGAATGTGTGGAAAATGTTACAAAGTTAGATTGTTAATACTTATAATTTATAACTTATAACTTATAATTTATAAAACTTTAAAAATTTTTATATACAATTTTATTATAATTAATTATTTAAACGACATAGTAATACGTTGCTTTTGTTTATATATTGTACATAAACTGTATTATAAAATTTAATTCTTAAAATATACATATTAACTATTAAATTAAATTTTCTTTTAAGCAAAAATTTAAATAATTAATTCATAATAAATTGCCTTATTTAAAGGTTTATAATTTAATGCTTTATTTAATTTGTAAAGTAATATAAAGCTATTCTCTGGAAGTTTTATAACACTACTGTATTTATAGTAACTATACTGTAAGCAACTGAACCTAAATATGTAATATAAGACTTACTTCACATATTGTTTAAGTATTATAACACCAAATGTTTATGACTTTAGCTCTTAAATTAGGAAAAGTTGTCTCTATTTACCGTTTCATCACTTTATTGGTAGGAAATTTTGCACTTGTATTATAGTATATATAATTTAATTAAATTTAATCTGTATACCTAAACATATAAACAATTATAAAATTCTGTAGACATTATAGTATAGGCAATTGTATCCATTTATAAACTCATAAAATAAATGGAATTAAATTATTTATTATGAAAACTTTAAATTTGTATTGACTTACTTTAAGATAAAATCATTTCTGTTTATATTTTATATGATTAAAAATATATTTTAGCTTAATAACAAGAAATCAATTGGTAACATAATCTGTCAACATGTAATGTAAATGCAATCAACATATTATAATTTTCTCAAACTATTGTCAATTAAATCATTACATATAACACAAAATTCTCACGAAATCTTTATTTAGCAAAAGACTTATTGTTGACATTATATCATATTTCAGACAAACGATTAGATAATTATTTTACCAAATATTTGTAATTCATTGTAAATATAAATAAATAGTTTATTTGATAACAATCAATCAATTTCATTGAATGATTTGCAATTTCATATAAACGACCATAATGATTT